AGTGGGGGTATTGGACTTGAAGGAAATAATTGGGAACTTAAAATGGAGAGTAGGCCTGAAAATTCTCAAAAGGGAAAGGAAGTTGCAAGTGAGGCACACATTAAGTTTGAAAGTGAGTTAAATTCAGTGAAGTCTAGTATGTGTGCTGAGCTTGAGAAATACAAACAACTTCAGTAAGAACTAGGTAGAGTGAAGAGTGATCTTGAAAAATCACTCAAGTGGACCTGGCCCTCTGATGCTATCACTGCCATGTACACCAACATGAGGGAAACAGGCAGGGGATTGGGTTCCAAAGGGAAAAGGTTTCCTACAACCCTCATAGCAAGTACGTTACTGTACCTGACAATTGGCTTTGCACTCACTACGGTAACATTGGGTACTTTAAAGAAAACTATAAGGCCAGGTTTCATTCACAAAAGAAAAATAAAGTTTTTGCTGAAAAAGTAACTACTGGTAGAGAACCTGGTCCCTAAATAAAAAACGCATGATGCCTGCTTGGACCAGAATATCCCTTATTCACCCCTTTCCTCATTACAAGGGACCCAAACTCGTTTGGGTTCATAAGTCTAACTCCTGATTTTCTTGTGCAGGGAACAGTGAAAGGAAGCAGCCTACAATGGTACATGGATAGTGGTTGCTCAAAGCATATGACTGGAAGTACAAATGATTTCCTTTCACTTAAGGCCCTGCAAGGAGGGAGTGTATCATTTGGAAATGGCAAGAAAGGATACATTCTGGGAGTTAGAAGGATTGGGAAGTCTCTCTCACACTCAATCGAAAATGTGTACTACGTGAACGGGTTAAAGTACAACTTGCTAAGTGTTTCCCAGATTTGTGACAAGGGAAACAAGGTGGAATTTGTGTCAAAAATTTGCACAGTCACAAATCTAGTGACTGGTGAGGTGGTGCTAGTAGCAAAAAGATACAAAAATATCTATATTGCTGATTTTGAGTCTCTGCAAAATGGTGATCTCAGCTGTCTAAGTGCCGTTGATGATGATGCTGAACTATGGCATAGGAGGCTGGGTCATGCAAGCTTCACGTTGCTAAACAAATTGGTCAGGAAGGACCTGGTTCGTGGTCTGCCCAAGTCAAGTTTCAAGGATCACAAAGTGTGCGATGCATGTGTAAAAGGCAAGCAAGTCAGATCCTCATTCAAGCCCAAAAAGGAAGTCAGTACCTCAAGGCCACTTGATTTTCTTCACATGGATCTATGTGTACCTATGAGAGTGCTACGCAGAGGAGGAAAGAAATACATCTTTGTGATAGTTTATGACTATTCCTGATTCACCTGGACCTTGTTTCTCAGAACCAAGGATGAAAATTTTGAAGTGTTCGTTGCTTTTGTCAAAAAGATCCAAGTGAAGATGGGTAATAAGGTAGCCTGCATCAGGTATGATCATGGGACAAAGTTTGATTATGCCAAGTTTGATGAGTTCTGTTCGGAAAATGGTATCACTCACAATTTCTCAGCTCTAAGAACACCTCAACAAAATGGTGTTGTGGAGAGAAAGAATAGAACTCTTGAAGACATGGCAAGGACAATGTTGATTGACAGTGGGATTGCAAAGAATTTCTGGGCAGAAGCTGTCAACACTGCTTGCTACTTGGTGAACAGGTGCATGATCAGGTCCCTTCTGAACAAAACTCCATATGAATTGCTAAATGGAAGGAAGCCCAAGCTGACACATCTAAGACTTTTGGGTGTAAATGCTTTGTTCTCAACAATGGAAAGGAAGCTCTTGGAAAATTTGATGCCAAAAGTGATGAAGGAATTTTTCTCGGATACTCATCTCAAAGCTAAGCTTACAAAGTATACAACAAAAGGACTCAATGTGTTGAAGAAAGTATATATGTGATCTTTGATGAATCACATCTCTCCTATGAAAAGGATAGACATGTTGATCAAGATGGAGAACCCTTATCTATTCCAGGAGAAGTCATTGACATGGCAAATGGAAAAGCAGACATGATGAGTAATGTAAAAGAATCTAGTGAAAATAATGCAAGTACACCTCCATCTACTGGAGAGGAACCTGGTCCCATGATCACACCAACTGAAGCTAAAAATAGAGTTGTTGATGCAGTCCAAGGTACTCCACTTGCTGAAGTAAGAAGCGCCCAAGAACCTCAGTCAGACATACTTGGGTCCTCTACCAATGAGATTCAGGTACCAAATTGGAAGCACAAAAGCTCACATCCTCTTGACTACATAATTACCCCTCATGACTCAGGAGTTCAAACCAGACCAAAATCAAGAAACTCACTTGCCTTTTCAGACTTTCTTCCCCAAATAGAGCCCAAAAATATCAAAGAAGCGTTGAAAGATACAGACTGGATCACAGCAATGGAAAAGAGCTGCATCAATTTGAAAGAAACAAGGTATGGCACTTGGTTCCTCGACCTGCAAATCGAACTATCATAGGGACCAGGTGGGTATTCAGGAACAAACTTGATGAGTTTGGAAATACAACAAGAAACAAGGCAAGGCTTGTAGTTCAAGGCTACAATCAGGAAGAAGGGATTGATTATGATGAAACATTTGCTCCAGTTCCTCGAAGGGAAGCCATTAGAATTCTTATTGCCTTTGCATCTCATATGGAATTCACACTGTTCTAAATGGATGTCAAAAGTGCATTTCTAAATGGCTACCTGAAAGAAGAAGTCTATGTCAAGCAGCCTCCTAGATTTGAGTGTCACGAGCATCCTGAGCACATGTTCAAACTGGACAAGGTATTGTATGGGCTAAAGCAGGCTCCCCGGGCTTGGTATGAAAGGTTGTCAAAATTCCTTCTAGAAAATGGCTTTATAAGAGCAACACCCTTTTTCTAAAAAAACAAGGGAGGAACCTGCTCATTGTTCAGGTATATGTTGATGATATCATTTTTGGATCCACATCTGACTCTCTTTGTGAAGAATTTGCAAAACTCATGGGGAATGAGCTCGAGATGAGTATGATGGGAGGATTATATTTCTTCCTAGGACTTCAAGTGAAGCGATCTCAAAAGGGAACATTGATAAGTCAGCAGAAGTACATCAAGGAGCTGCTGAAAAGGTTTGACATGGAAGCATCAAAAGTTATTGACACTCCTATTGCCACTGCCACACGTCTAGACATGGATGAACCTGGTTCCCCTGTAAATCAGACCATGTATAGAGGGATCATAGGGTCACTCTTGTATCTCACTGCAAGCAGATCAGACATTGTGTTCAGCGTGGGTCTTTGTGCAAGGTTTCAATCCAATCCAAAGGAATCTCATCTGAAGAATGCCTAGAGAATATTGAGGTATCTCAAAGGAACGCAGGACCTGGTTCTCTACTATCCCTCAGGTGACAACTTTGATCTTATTGGGTATGCTGACGCTGATTATGCAGGATATCTGGTGGACAAGAAAAGCACGTCTGGAATGGCATATTTTCTGGGTTCTTGTCTAATCTCATGGGGTACAAGGAAGCAAAAATCAGTGGCACTCTCAACTGCAGAAGCAGAATATGTAGCAGCTGCTTCTTGTCGTGCTCAATTGTTGTGGATCAAGCATCAACTAGAAGACTTTGGAGTATTCTCAGATTGTGTGCCTCTCTTATACGACAATACAAATGCACTCAACATGGCCAAAAATCCAGTCCAACATAAGAGGACCAAGAACATTGATGTACGCCATCATTTCCTCAGAGACAATGTTGAAAAAGGGCTCATATACATGAAATTCTGTAGCACAGAAGATAAGATTGCAGATATATTCACCAAAGCCCTAAGTAGAGAACACTTTGAGAAAAATTGCCTGGCACTGGGGTTGATAAAATCCAACTGAAAACCTGGTCCCTCGATGATTGGCTATGAAAGAAATGTTCAGGTAAAATTAGCAAAAGGTGTTTTCTGGAAAACTCTAACTCATCTCTATACCGTTACACGTAGACACGCATGATGATTATAGAGCAAATGGGCAGTTGATGCAATACGCGCTGGTAAAAAGGGTAAAGCTTATAGATGCAAGATTAGTCAGGGAACCTGGTTCTCCTGACACAGGTTAGTAGTTTTTCTGTTCTCACATGCACAATTTTGAACGGTTAAAATAAGTGCCATGTCATCAGTGTGTCAGTTTCTCTCCTTTGCGTCTCTTGAACCCAAACGTCTCACCCATTAGAAGTCGACCCGACTCCTAAAACTGACGCATTTTCCTAATTGGTCCCTCATCAATCTTAAATTCATCCATCACTTTCACATCTCCTCACATAAAACGCTGAAACCTTCCTTCTTCTTTTTCTCTCTTTCAAACTACCCATCTCTTCTCCTCAACTTATCACTCCTCTCCATGGCTGAAAATTATGAAACTTCAAGTGTCCCCAGTGACACCCCATTGAGTCCTCAGCCATTCAAACACTGATATTAGACTTCTCTCCCAACACCACCACTAGCCAAAACCCTAGGGCAGAGTCACCCCCATATTCCGTCTCCTCTCCTACCCAATCAAGTTCTGGTTCTCATAAGAGTCGCAAAATCTCGACTCCCAAAAGGTTTTTAGCCTCGAGCTCTCCTCTTATTTCGCCGAGAAAAGGGAATGAACAGAGTACTGCTGACAAAGAAGAAAATCAGGAAATTTCACGTTCTCCTATGGAAGAAGGGTCAAAGGTTGATCAAACTGATGGTTCCGAGAATGTTGACTCAACAAAGACTACTCCTGATCTTGTGTCCACAGGTAACGCTCCTTCCTCTCCTAAGTTTTCCATGGGTGCACAAGAGAAAAAAGCAATAGATAACATGCTCTCCATAGCTAATGAAGGGGTTTTTGTCAAAGGAGATGAGGATGGGTCTGAGACTCAAGGGGAAGAGTCTAAGACTGTTGGATGGGGTAAAGAACTTGTGCTTGTTGAACCATCGGCATAGGAAGGTGCTACTGGGGAACCTGCTGGAGGACCTGATCCCCCTTCGGAGGATCCAACTCAGGGATCCTCTCCAGAACCCCCGTTTAGCACTGACCTTGCTCCCTCTCCTCATTTTGATGCTGAGCCTTTGTGTGTGGTGGTGCCTAAGGAAAGATCTGTGTCCAGAGAATAAAAAGATTTGGGAAAGTGAAGAGGATTTTGATGATTTGCCAATAGCAAGCTTGACCAAGCGTAGACGAATAGTTGCTCAAGAGTCTACTCCTAAGCGGCCCACTACAAGGTTGCAAAGGAAAGAGGCTCTTGAGTCTGCTCTTAAGAAGAGCCAAGCTAAGTCAAGGAGAAGAAAGTTGGTGAAAGATGGGAAAGCTGTGAGTAAGAAGTCAGTGCCTGTTATGAATGTGGATGAGGACGAAGCCGATGAACCTGGTTCCTTGACTAGAAAGCTCTCACAGAAGCATGGTCTCTCCAAGCCAAAAAGGGTATTTTTTGTGTCTGCTGAAAATCTAAACAAGTCTGATGCTTTTGTGTCTAGTGAAAATGTAGTGAAAGAATCTGGTGATAAGTGTGTGGAAGAGTTTGGTGCCAGTGTGATGGAAGAATTGGGTGAAAAGTCTATGAAGTCTGATGAAAAAGAGAAGAATGTTCGCAAGTCTGCTAAAAGAAAAGCCGATACTTATGAGGAACCTGGTTCCTCCAAGAAGGCCAGAGTTGGTGAACCAAGGAGTGCTGGGAAAGAGAGACTGAGGAGCCAAAATGTGCTACGGGGCCGCACATTTGCCCCTGATATCTTGGAGGAGGCTGGTATGAGACAGCTGGTTGAGATCTGTGAGTTCCAACAGTGCACACATTTGTTCACAAGTGATTCTCCAAAGGTGTATGAGGAGGAAGATCAAAGTTTCTATGCCGACTTATTCAAAGTTGAGGATGATCACATCTGTGTGTTGGTAAATGAAGTTGATATGGTAATGGACTCTGCTTTGTTGGGGTCTATAGTGTGCCTGTTGAAGGGCTGCCAAGTGTTCAGGGATCTTGTTCTCAAAATTTCAGAAATGCTATCCTGAAGGACAAAGCAGTTCAGCAAGGGGAACGGTTTCAGAAGAAGGCCCTCCTTCCATTGTATCAACTACTCTTTGAGATTGTAAACAAAGTATTATTGCCTCGTGTTTAGAGAAGATATATCACCTCCGAGCAGACCTATTCCTCGTGGAAGCACTGGACAACTTCACTACCATCAATCTGCCTGGGATCATGATAGAGCACATGAATAAAGTGGCAGATTTTAAAGATGGTGATCATGGGCTGACTTATGGGTTCCTTCTCACTTAGGTCTTTAAGCACTTAAAGGTTCCTCTAGGACAAGTTAAAGTGGGCACCAAGAAGCAAACTTTCTCCAAAGCTACTCTTGAAGAATGTGAGTGTATAGAGAAAGTTAGAAGGGTTGGAAGCACTTCTACCATATCTCAGTTGATCAATGCTCAGAACAGTGCTACTACTGAGATAAGACAATTTAAAGCAAGGAATGCTATCCTTGAGACTCAGTTAAGTCAGCTGCAGGAGGCACCTGGTTCCAGTAGCTCTCAAAGTGAAGAGGTTGAACGTCTGACAAAAGAGAATGCTGAGCTCAGGAAACAAGTGGAGGACCTGAAAGAGAGACTACTCAACGAGCAAATGTCAGCGAATGCTCGAATGGATTTAGTCCTCCAAACCCTTTCCTCTGCCTCTAAGCCTTCTCCTTCCAGTGCTCCCTAGATAGTGTCCCTTCAGTGTCAAGTTTTTAATGTTGCTTTATTATGATCTGGTCTTTGGTCAAGTCTCTTAGTGTCAGTTCTTATGATGATGTTTGTGGTATTTTTTTGTTGTTCTGAATTGTGAATGGTGGTAGTAACATTGACTCTGATCCTGTTGAAAAATCTAAATTATGTTAATGCAAGGTTTTCTCTTTTTGCTGTGTATGCCTTGTCTTTATGCTCTGTTTTTAGTCATGTTGTGTGCACACAAGTGGCATGAGTTAACTCAAGCTAGACTTATTTTTGCTATAAGCTTGTTACTATTCATTTTATGATGCCAAAAGGGGAAAGAAAATGGAAAATGTGCATAATTGAATAATGATTTGCACTGATTAAGGGGGAATACAGATTCAGGGAAAAACTTAAGGTCTTTCTAGTTCACTGTCTGGTTCTGTATGGCTCTTTTTGGGATTTTCAATTACAAGTTTGTTATCAAAAAGGGGGAAATTGATAGGTTATAAGTACCTTGTTTTATATTTTGATGATCTAACAAACTTATTGTCAAGAACCAGATAAGGAACCTGTTACACATTCTCAAGACCCTAAGATCAAAAGGTTCCAGCTTGGGATATGGTTCAACTCTTCAGAGTCAGAGGAACAACCGAGGGAATAGATAACTACCAGTTCCTGAGGAAACGGCACAAGTCAACTGCTCCAGTTGTAAAGTTGTTGCCTGCACACGCTACAATACAGAAACAGTGCAGCAGTCAACTTTATGGGGAATGTCTTTTACCTAACTTGCTTACATCATTTTAAGCGATGTCACAAAGGTATTATTAACCTCAAGGAAGGTAAAACAAATCACTTGAACACTTAGAGAATTCACTCAAGCACTCTCACCGTAATTGATCATCAAGCAGACAATTCTTAAGTGCATCAAGAACAAAGAACAACACGACTACGGACCAGTTCCCCTTATCAAGTTATTGTGGTTCCTACCTAGCTTGTTTAGAAGCATTCTGTAGGAACCCCTTTGTAAATCTTAAACCCTTGTGTTTGAGTCTTGGCTAGAGTTAGTCGAGTTGTAAAGTCTTTGTAATAGAGTTATTACAAAGTGGCTTGTAATAGAGTATACAAGTTAGTGAGGGATTAAGAGGTTAATTCCTAGGTTGCATAAGTTGTAATCTGAAAGTTGCAATCTGAAAGTTGCTCAGTAGTGAAGTTGAAATCCTACAAGAGTAGGTCGTGGTTTTAATCCCGTTGAGCTGGGAATTTTCCACGTAAAATTCCTCTTGTCGTTTATTTACTGCAGTGTGCGTGTGTTCTGTTGAACCTGATAGAGAATCAGTTTGGTGGACCCTTAAATTCTATCAATTGTGAATATAAAAGGGTTGTTTGCGACAAGCTAATGGGATGGATTCAGAAGCAGAATCTAAGAGCTATAAGTTGGCAACAACATAACCAATGGATTATAAGATGTTCTAGAGGAAAATCTCACCAGGCATAGATTTTCAAACTGGTGTATGCAGAAACAGTGCATCACATCTAGATTGAGAGAACCTTTAGATTTTTTGAGAAAAAGAGCAGACACTAGAAAAGCATAGCTAAAGAGATAGCTTATATTTTTAGCACTCAAGCCTCACCTGTAATTAGGACTCTATTACATGGATTTACATTCTAAGTGAGATGTTAGGATAGGAGGTCATTTGGCTTGTAGGAGGTCTTCTTTTTAGATAGCTAGCTTTGTACATAATATTGGACGAGCTCCATTTCCATACGGTAATTGAAGTCAAACAGAAGAAAATCAGGTGCAATTCAATCCTTATTCCTAGTAATGATTCCCAAAAAAGCAAAATTTCACTAGACCGAGGCTCATTGCTATGTGGACTACACTTTATAAGAGAATGATTAAGGTAATTGTCAATAGTTTCTATTAAAAGACATACTAGTTCTCTTAGCTATGGATTTATAACTGTTTTATTGGTGATTAATAATATTATATTAGTTACAAAAAAGGCACAAATTTAGTCATCCAATATTTAGATTTAAATACGACATTTCAATACGTAGATATGCATTTAATATTTAGATGCATATTCAAATTCAAATATCTTAACTTTTTTTTATTTTTATTTTTAAAAAGGGCCCTTAAAACTGTATCATACACCAACACTTAATTTCCTATAATTATTTCTTTATCTATTCGATGATGATGCTTAATCAATTTGTCTTAATGTAATCAAGTCTCTTATTGAAAGGAAACTTCACTGTCCTGCTAGTTTCTTGTGTATTTTAAAGATTAATGCAAAATTGACATTTCAATCTAATAAACCCATTATTCAAGGATGACTTCATAAGCTTATCTTCCAACTTGTTTCTTGCGAGTATATCTCGTAAATCTGTATATTTTTTTAAAAATTATTTTGTATAATTTTGAACTCCTTTTTCCAGTATGTTAATTACAATTAATAAATGGAGAGTGCAAAACTTTTTCCTTTACTCCAATCTTCTTAAATACTTTTGATGTTTCCGGTACTTTTATATGTTCTCTAAGTATCATAATTGTAATTTCAATTTCTTTTATCTATACCGGTATTTACAAGTAAAAGTGCATAGTTAGCCACTAATTAGAGATGTCTTTATTCTTTTGTTACTGTTAAAAATGTACTTACTCTTTAGCCAGTGCTTAATAAATTTTACCTGCCCGGACGAAAATACCCCCGTGCTAGACATGGGTGCTGTGTAAATATTAAGGACATGGTGTTCTTAACTTCATAAATACTGTGTAAATATTAAGGACAACGTATCCTGCATTTGCACCTTTCGTTGTTAAACTTTAGGATATCATGTCCTTAACTTCATATGTGAACTAGTGCCGAGCTTAAGGATGAATCCAATATTCCCAGTAGGAAGTCAGATAAATGGTCACCACCAACCATAATTTCCCTCCATGAGTCGTGCTAAAACAATAATCATTTGGAACATTAGGGGAGGCAACAACGACGACTTTAGAAGAAATATTTGTGCTATGATTAACTCCCACCACCCATGCATGGTCACCCTCCTAGAAACTAGAATGTCTAGGAATGGTTGTTTGATGAATGAGTTTGGTTTCTCCGACATGATTGAGGTCCCAACTGAGGGTCAATCCAGTGGGCTGGCAGTGTTATAGGACACGACCTTGGTTAATGTCAACAATTTCGTGAGGAGGAATAATGAGATCCATGCCCTAATCGAGGTACCTCCAATTCGCCACTATTGGCTATTTTCTTCAATTTATGCTATCACTAACATCAATATTAGAAACTTAATGTTGGATAATATTTGTGGTATCTTTGATAATTATAAAGGTCCATGGTTATTGGGGGGGGGGGGGGGG